ATGCGAGCTGACTACACCATCATGAAGGACTTGAGCAGCCACACAAAACTGGAACCAGATGTGAGGGAGGGACGCCTCAACAGATTCGTCAGTAATATACAGAAGTAGGGGATTATCCGTGGTGCTTTTTTTGTGTAGTTATTGCCTCAAGTTTCATAGTCACATTTTACTCTTGACATTTCCCTGCCTGTTCTTGATATGTATCCTCACTGTTTCCCGTTGAAGTGGTCCTCATCTCAGCAGCTTGTGTAATTCATCTGTTCATATGCACGGAACTTGGAATGCAAGGCTTCGATTTAATTCCTAAACATTATTTCATAGGAATACTGACGCACAAGCGGAGTTGGATAAGTGGGGACTCAGCTTTGATAAGCAACTCCTAAATCTGACTGGCAGAGTCCTTCCAGCGGAGAGGATTTTCCAGGGACCAAAATCGGTATAATATGCTTGTGGTTACAGAAAATTGTTCTTTTGAATTACTTAAATGAATTGTATTTATGTGCTCTTAATTGAGAGATTAACATCATAATTTGTGTCACCCAGTATGACTACAACCCCAATTCAGCTGACTGGTCCAAAGAGATGCGTGGGCTGCCTCTGATCAGCGCTCCTCCACTGGATAACTGGCTTATGCTTTACACCCGTCGTAACGAGGGCGAGGCCCAGTCCCTCCTGCAGACCCTCAACAGAGTCTCAGGTCCACTCAATATCCGCATGAAAAGAGCCGTCATGTGAGTTCTAGCATAAGAACGATGAGAGAGAAAAATGAAATCCTGGAATTTGAAGCTTTTAATTGTTAAAACTGTTTTAAAGAGGTTGATTCAACTTCAGGATAATTTTGGAGGTTTGAGTTGTAATTCAATACACACATTCTAACTTTCATGGGGAAAGGATTTAATGCTTGGCCCACGTAATACACTGGCTACTGAGTGTATAATGTAACTTTTCTCCGGTACTTGGAATATTTTAATGTTTTAAAATGTTTTATTTAGTAATGAAAGCTTCATAATTTAATGATTTGTTCATCTTAGTCAATTTATCGTTGCCTAACGAAGCAAATTATTATGATTTTTGGTCAAATTGGTTTTGTAATTTAATTATTGCAAGCTCTCTTTTTATTTAGGATTGAGTACGAGGATTATCAGGAGTCTCTCCTCAGAGCCCTGCAGCACAATGTTGGACCCCAAACACAGATGGTTAGTGACTAAATATATAATGCATTAACGTGGAGGTGCAGATAACCTTCATACGTTTGACTTTTGCATATTATTTACTCGGTGCTTTGACATTTCTTGTTAACCATGGATGAACGGTAAGGTTTACATGCTGTTGTTTTTGAGGCATAGAGATGTGCTGTGTCAACAAGCAGCATGAGACCTTTCATCTGTTTCTATGTTAGGTGGTGGTGGTTCTCCCCAGCAACAGGAAGGACAAGTACGACAGCATCAAGAAGTACCTTTGCGTGGACTGCCCTACTCCCAGCCAGTGTGTGGTTGCCCGTACCCTCAGCAGACAACAGTCACTCATGACTGTGGCAACCAAGATTGCTCTTCAGATCGCTTGCAAGATGGGAGGAGAGCTCTGGAGTGTGGAAGTCCCTGTAAGTCATGTGCACTCTCATTCATTTGTACGTCGAAGAGGTTAGGCGTGTTTGGGAATACAAGATAAGTAGTTCTCGAGTGGATTAAGCCGTCGGATGTTTTAGAGCAGATAAAGAATAGAACTGTTATCGTTAACTGTTTTACAAATGTTGATCACGGTGTCGCATTTAAACAAGACACTATACAGGATGTCACAAGTGGAGGAATCTGAATCAGGTTTGTTAATTGATTTGGAGCTGGTTGCACAAAGGCTTAGACCAGGGGTCGGCAACCTTTACTCTCAGAAGAACAAAAAAAAAAAAATCTTTCTCCTAAAACACATTTGATTCTTTTAATGAAGGTAAAACAAAGTGGAGCTGCGAGGATCTTCTCTGCATTATCCGTATCCGCGTGTCGTATGCTACATTTAGGCAGCAAAACTAAAAACTGTAGTTATCAAGTTGGCAGGAAATGGGACTAAACTTTTAGCTGACACAGCTTTTAGCCACAGACTGCCGACCCGGGCTTAGACTGACAAATAGACACAGACATCCAAAAATCCAACCGTGTCCAAAGTGGCATGGAATGATTTTTCTTCATGCATGTTTTGCCATATTCACTATCATGTTTTGGGGGCCTGATGCTTGTTTGTCCCATATTTGAGACATAAATATGACGTTCACATTCTTTCTCTCTGATTCAGGTATGCATTGTGGATATTAACACTACTGTTTATCAGCGCTAGCTTGTAAACCTGTATAGCTGTACCCATATGTTACTCATTAGGTTTTTCCACAGGTCTGGGTTAGTGAATGTGTTATCTGCAACTACTTGAAATTAAATTTTTGTCCAAAGCTGGAGGAGAGAAGGGATTCATTAGTTTTCACGAGAGTTTTTGAGTCCATTTAGGGTGGGGGGGGTACAAACGCAGACATTGCAAATCTGTACTGATGTCTCACCTTTTGTGCAGCTCAAACAGCTGATGATTGTGGGCATTGACTGCTACCATGACACCATTGCTGGGAAAAGGTCTATTGGAGCTCTGGTGGCCAGCCTCAATCAGGGCATGAGCAGGTTAGTTTCTACAACCGTTTCTTTCCAGACTGTACCTTGGTCTACAGCCTGAAGAAGGCTGCACAAATCTGCTTTACAATAGTTGTATTGGTTACCTCAGTCTTTGATTTAGTGCCATAGCACAAACATTAAATTGTGACATTTCTAATGTCTTTGTCAAGGTGGTACTCAAAGTGCGTGTTGCAGCACAAAGGCCAGGAAATCATGGATGGACTGAAGCTGGCTTTATGTGGCAAGATGCTTTCCACGATTCTGAATTTATTTTAATATACACATTAATTCTCTATCAACAATGTTGGCATTCCTGTCTTAAATGTGTTTGTTTTCCAGGTGCACTGAAGGACTACCTGAAGTTCAACAACTGCTTGCCTTCACGCATCATCGTGTACAGAGATGGAGTGGGAGACGGCCAGCTGCATAGCGTCGTCAACTATGAGGTTTCACAGATCATCGAATCCATCAAGTCCATGGGGCAGGATTACGAGTAAGGTTTTCGTCGTAATAGCTCGCTCAAAAAGCTGCTGCACTTATAAGTAGTCCATGAGACATAATCACCCGTATTAAACACCTCCCTGTCCTTAGGCAGATGCTGAAACACAAGTTATGCCATCAAATCTGGTTTAAATGTGGACTTTTTTCATATTTAGGTGGAGTTCACACACTGAGGAGTTGAACAAAGCTCAAACTGATTTGTAAATTGCCAGTTTTTTTAATGGAGCCTCTGCATCTGCTTGTCATAGGCCCAAGCTGAGTGTGGTGGTGGTGAAGAAGCGCATCAACAGTAGGTTTTTTGCCCAAATCCACGGCAAAGTGTTGAACCCTCCCCCGGGCACAATCGTTGACTCAGAGGTCACCCGTCCGGAGTGGTATGTTGTTTTTTTTAGCTGTTCCTGCATTTGTTTTAAATGTTGTTGTTGTTGTTGTAGTGGCTAACTGTTGTGACCTTTTGTTTGCCAGGTACGATTTCTACATTGTGAGCCAGGCTGTCCGCATGGGAAGCGTCTCCCCAACCCACTACAATGTTGTGTACGACACCAGTGGACTGAAGCCCGATCACATGCAGCGGCTCACCTACAAGCTGTGCCACATGTACTACAACTGGCAGGTAGGCTAGCTTTGAAATCGCTGCGGTAATAAGCTTGTTTCATCCTGGATGGCTGTACTCGTAGTTTCTCCAAAGTTGAAACTCTTTCAGATCAGGAGTGGGCATTTTTTAAATATTTGGGTACAACCTGTTATTGAATTTCCAATATTTAAGAATAACTGATCAGCGCCAACATTTAGCCCAATAAAGCATTAGCAAAGGTCAAAGTGTTTTTGGGAATCAAAATTGTGGTTTATTTTTCTGTGCTTCAGGGGATCATCAGAGTGCCCGCTCCCTGCCAGTATGCCCACAAGCTGGCTTTTCTTGTGGGTCAAAGCATCCACAGGGAGCCCAGTGTGAAACTGGATGACCTCCTCTTCTACCTGTAGGATGACAAGACGAGCGGTTTGTTTGCCTCTGACTTTTAAGTTGCCATGTTAAAAACTATATATAAACTTTATTTAAGAAAGTTCTAAGTTAAGTTTTGCCAAAGCTAAGTAGTTGTGTTTTTTTTTTTTTATAGCCTTTGTGTATTGAGTTACGCAGTTTGAGAGGTCTGACTACAGACTCAAATCAGGGACCAAAAACTACTGTTGCATATATGATAAACAATGCACCCTGTCTGCTGTTAAAAATGCACTAAAGTAGATGAATGTTCAGAGTAATGTCACAATTAACTTGATCTGAGTTATCCACGCTGGTCCTGAAGTGGGAAATATTTCATTTTTATTTCTACAATGTCCTTGTTGTATTCACTTATAACTTAATTACAAGTTGATGTTGTCTTTTGAGTAATTAAAATATAATTTTTTTTTTAAATGTCTATTTTGTCGAGTGTTTCCTGGTGATTTGTGGATCATCTGTATTAATGGCTGTCCAGTTGGGAGTACAAGCATGCTAAAATATCACATTTGTGTTAGTAATAAGGTTCTTATGGGTTAACGTCTAGGAACTATTACGGCTGTAATAAATGGTTCTAATAAACATTTGTTTGCGTTATGTCATTTTGTCTTAAGTTGAATCACCCATGCAAACATTACAAAATATCAAATTTATTTAGATTTCTTTTTTTTTTTTTTTAGAAAATATTGCACATGCACACCCACACAATAATTTGTAACCATCAATATAGGCTGATATTTCTTATCATAAAGCTAGCACACAATTGCAGACTTTTAAACAATATGGTCTTCAAGACACCATGGGGAAAGCTTGCACTGTTTGATTATAAAGTTAAATGTACAAAAAAGGCAGTTTGAAAATCAAGTATAAACATTTTAAACAATTTTTACAAATGGACAAAGTACAAAAAGAGCAACAGTCACTCAAAATGAATAGAAGCGATGTCTGACGACATGGTCCATAAATAGGAAAAGTTGTACATCAGTTTATCGTAGGTTATCATGGCTGTCCGGCCGAGAACTGTACAGAAAGTATTACAGAATGATTTGCATACATTCTTTTTTTTTTTTTTTTGGCAGTTTCAGTTCAACTCTTGTATAAAAAATAGGCTAGATTTTCAAATGCATGAGGATGAAATGGCAAACAGAATGGGGAGGGGGAAATAAAGGAGTTTCATTTCACGCACAAAGACGGACATCTGCAAAATCCTTTTGGGCAGCTTTGAAAAATACATTGGCTTTCAATTCATCATACATTCACTATTCTACATTAAGGTGTAGATATATGTATTGATATACAGTACTTGTATTCTGCACCAACCAAACTCGGACACACTGAACAGGCTTCAATGACAGATTGGGTTCAATAAACATCTCGGATCTAATCGATTTTGGGTTAGAAGGGTCGAGGGGCAGCGTAGAGGTAGCCATGTGTCTCACCGTCGTCTACTGTGAAAATGGTCAAACCTTCAGTCTTGTGTTGTACGTTGTGAATCAAATGCAGTACAGTAACAGGACTTAATTTGCTGATGCTATATTACAGATTAGCTGTATCTGTTACTTTGTTTATGTAATGTTTTTGTCTTTGTAGAGCAGTCATTGTTTTAGATCCAATGTGCATCAGTGTGGCATAAAAAAACAGTAAACTCAAATAAAAAATGTCCCTTTATTCACTCTGCCTAAAAAAAAAAAAGGTTGGTATGCTGACAATGTTTGCTCTTTTCCATCACCTGTTTTCTAAAATTCGAGAATTAAGAATGATTAGGTACTTTAGATGAGGGACATGTGAACACAGGAGTCTTGGACGGTTATATGTAAGCTCTGGTCCTACGGAAGTCACGACAGTCACACAATACCCTGCACATCACAAGTCAGGATGAACATCTGCTAACATATCTCATGAAGTACCAACATAAATGAGCAGTAGGCATGGAACTGCATGCTCTACTTGGCAAAGTACAAACCATTGTGCGATTATAAGGCAAATACATGGAGGTTGGATCTACTAGGCATTTCCATTCAACCTGATTTTTATGCAGAGACCCTGTAGTAGATACAGTATGTGCTTGTGTGCCGACATGTTTGTGGGGGGGGGGGACTTGCCTCTATCACAGATGTTGAGATAGGGCAGAAAAGTGAAAGTTATCTCTGCTGATTTGTCACAGTTTACTGCGCAGCGAGTCAGCCACGCTGTATTTAAGGACTGCATGCTCCAGGTTTCCATTTTCGAGCCCGTCACATTGCATGCACTCTGGAGGGCTCAGGTGGGAATGTGCTGAAGTAAAGCATGCAAACCTCTCATACAATGCAAGCGACTGGCTGGCTGAAACACGCTTGTGACCCTACAAGTCCATCTTTTTCTTCAGATTTTAAAATGGAGGTTTACTTGATCCCTCGGTGTTTGAACGACATTCTGATTTCTGTACACCGAGACACTGGTCTGACTCATAATGTGGCGTAATCAGTGCCATTAGACCAGAGTGCCCTGTCTCTGTGTACAGTAAAACATCAGTCAGAGACTCCGAGGTAAGATACTCAACACACACATCAGATCATAAATATGAAATGTGTTATTGAAAATATGTAGTGGATACTTTTAACAAAATACAAATATTCTAGTATACAACAGATGTACAAGAATAAAGCATTTGTTAAGCTCACAAATGCCACCTGTCCACTGTGATGGATTTTTTTTTTTAACCACTACAAGGAAGTGGATGACACTTTCCAAGTCTGTCAAGAAATTATTTTACAGCGCCAAGTCTTTGCAACAGTGTCTTCCCTTTGGAGAGCAGTCCCTTTTTCTTTTTGGAGGAGTACATGTCCAGTGGGGCCCTGATGGGACTGCCGGGCCCCAGGGCCAGGGAGCCAGGGATGTGTGGACGCACTGTGGGAGAGCCTGCTCTTCTGGGCGGACCCGATTTTTCCAATGGAACCTAATGGGAGACCCGTAAGGGACAGTTGAGGGTGTTAAAAAGCCAGCCGTCTCGCACACCTCAGTCACTACTCCCCTCCTTCTCTTAAGTCCTTTCTGTCTCAGCAGGGCCACCATGGCTCTGAAGTCTACCTCCCTGGATATTGTCCTGCGCACTCTGGTATATAGATATACACACTCCCTCCCTCCCCCTCTCTCTCTCTCTGCCAGGTAGAAACAGTGTTTCTTTTTTATGAAGCTGCTTGGATTAAACTACAACAACACAGAATTTAAGCATGACATTGACTAACTTCCCCATCAATGTAAGGTGACAACATTTCCCAGCAATGAATATCAAGGGGCAGGACAGTTCCTCTCACACAGACAGATACATTTGCTTTTTGGGACAAGTGGGACATATTTATACCACATTCACTTTCCTTCCCCTTAAATATATATCTATATCCATATAGATATAGATATATATATATATAGAGAGAGATATTTACTGATACAACTGGGTTACAGAGAAACTACTAGTCACTATTCCTTTTCTGTAATCATGAGCTAAAAGGCTCCTTTAAATTGCACTTTGGGAAGACAGATGGTGAAAGATTCCATATGAGGCTATATATATATATATATATATATATATCTGTTTGAAACACCAGAAGATGTACCATCTCAAAACCATTTTGCTTTATTTAGTATTTTATTACAGTTTAAAGTGAGACTTTGTAACTTTTGTGGAAATAAATAAACATTATTCCACTTACAAATGGAAGCAAAACACATGGTTGCTCAATACACTCAGGGGTTTTGTTGCTACCACCTTACTTGGTCTGGTATGACCAGTAGCTTATGATGGCTAATGTTAGCAAACTTTAGCTAAATATTGCTGTAAAACAGACGTTACTGTGTCAGTTTGTCTTTTATCATTCTTCACAACTTCTGGCACATTTGAGCTAAAAAGTAGTGTGGGAATTCTGTCATTTGTAGCCGCTGCTCAGCAGAAGTTCCAGAGTCTCACTTTAAATCAGTAACTATTAGTTGACAATCTGATAGTTAATCCTGGCTCACAAAATTAGTACCGATTTGAAAACCTAAATGCTAACTGTTTTGATAAAAACTGAATGAAATATCTTCATGCTTGTCTTTGGGGTTTTGCATAGAATTGGTACGGTTTTCTGGCACGTCACACTGCACTGACAGTCTAAACGTTATCATTCATTTTAACTAAACTTTTTGGGTAATTGTACAACAATGGCCTTTTAGCGTACCATGAGTTACAGCAGGAGACTTATTGCAGGAGACGGACATTGTCATGTACAACACTCAGAGAAACAACTGAAGATACCATACTTCTTGTCTAATGCATTGGCTGGGTTTACTAACTAACAACAAACATTAACGAGTGTTTAGATGAAACAAAGAGGAATCCTAAAACTACCTAAAGACATAGCAGCACTAAAGGAATGTCATATAAAGTATACATGTTGCATACCAGAAGCTAAGGGTACCCATGTCATCTGCATTAGACGAGGGGGGGGCGTACTCTTGGTATCCTCAGTTGCTCACTTACGTGACGGAAACAGAGCCTTTAAGGTGTGAAATGAACACTCTTCTTCTGTTTTGCCGAGCGGGTGAGGAAAAGAAATAAAAAAATATATATATGGTGATGGCATTTCAATAGTTTGCACTGTGACAATGTCAAATTAGACCACAAGGAAAGAAATATCTGATGACACCTATAAATATTTCAACAATTGCATTAGTTGTTAAACACAAAATAACATATATTTACATTTAGTAAATAATTACTTCTGAAATTATTCTCTGATGGCAACATAGGCTCAGTGACCTTTGCGTGCTACTTTACAAGAAAGCAAATATACAAAACAAGGCGTTCAGGAGCAGATACAAAAGTTGTACTACACTAGACTGTTTATATAAAATGTTCAAGAATTCATGCAGCTGGACTATAGAACATGCTGAGCTACAGACTACATAGTTCATCTTTGAGTACAACAAAACTATTTACTCTATTAGAAATGATTTGAGATCAAACACAATATATTCATAAAGCATCTGTTAGAATGCTAAATATGCATGTGCAAAAAGTGTTAACTGCTGTTTCTCCAAGACAATACAGAACAAGTAAAAAGTCCCAGGAGCACCCCCCCCCCTCCATTCTACTATCATTGAGAATGCTTTATGAATACAATAGATCCACGTATTATACAATGCACAACTTCCCCCCCCTTTCACAGCAGTAAACATGAAAAATAAAAGTACCTCTGTCAAGTATTAGTCTTAAAGTTTTATTTTTTTATATAGATCTTAGACATCTATTTATTTACAGTGTAATGCTCAAAAGTCAGAATTCCCATCGCACTTCAATGAGACACACACACACACGCGCACAGACACAGTACTAAAGGAGATAGAAGGAACTGAAAAGAGTAAATGGATGAGAGAGGGCTAGTACTGCGAAGGAGCATGTACCCTTTTGGTCTTTATCCGTGCAGGAGTGTCCTGGGGGTATCGAGATGGTGAGTCAGTGAGAAAAACCTCTACATCATCAGGCACTTCTTCTAGAAAGTTGGAAGGAACAAGTCCCTTGTGTCCATTGAGCTCGCCCTGCGGAGTAAACAAGGACAGTAAGACTAAATGTTACAGTTTAACTCTGACGAGGTGCATAGGAGTCAAAGTAAAGCTGCAATAGAGGTGAGAGATGGGAGGATGTCTTCATGTACACAAGCCTGTATGTTCGGCTTCTCATCAAAGATTAGCAGTTAGCTAGTGCTTCAAATGAAAGTCACATAACGTCTATGGAAAAAAAATGAATGACTTTTACTACCAGAACCAGGGGCCCTAAAAATAAGTCCTCCCACTTCCTGACTCTACTGACCATTTGCTTCCTCAACATAGAAGCATGCGAGTCTCCAATGTCATTTAACAATCCATTAAAATAGCCTCTCTTTTTGTGTTTGTGTAGGTTTAAGTTATAATTACATCTCCTTTGTTTCTGAGATAGACATGTTTTTTCCCTATCAGGGTGGAATGATGCATTGCTCTAAATGCTACAATATCCAATGAGCCGCAACCACCATAGCTGTGGCAAAGAATCCAAATGAGAGATTTGACAAATTAATGCAGCTTTGCCATTGCAATAGCAAACAAAACTATAATTGCCATATTCATCCAATTCAGTCATTGCCTTGTATCAATCAATCATATTATTTCCATCTTTTGTACTGATGATTCAACAGGGACAATTGCATGCATACCCAAGTCCTGGAAATGCACACCTACAGGTGTGCTTAGTCAGGTAGCACACCTGTAAGGATGCACTGTGCACTAAATAGTCATGGGGAAAAACAGATGTTCAACAGACATGGAAATAGAAATGTTTCACACTTACATAATGAAAACCATCTTCATCTATTTCACCAAAAACTGTGATGACGTCACCGGCACAGAAAGTCAGTTCACCCTGCCAAAGAAGAAAAGATCCTTGAAATACATTTGGCCTGTTGTACTTTTCCTGTTGTTTACAGCAGTATATGTGTGCAGACGACTTTCCAAAACATCAAAATGTACTGGGGGTTTGACGAGTTTGAAATGCTGTGCTTCCTTTTCCAAATCAATGTGATGCATCTTAAACACGAGTGTCAATTCAGTCTAGGCAGACGGACTGTTGCAACTGTAAATGCATCAAACGTTGGAAATTTGAAGACAGGATTGCAACACACTGGGCACATCTGTCCTACAGGATTTCCGAGAACACACAGACCAAACATAGCGCATGTACAGTATGTAGGAGACAGGTTGACACAAAAGACCAAACCGAGGAGGGGAGATGCTGGCTCAGGCAATGCATGAGGGGCTGTATTAATGACCACCGGGGACAGGGGGCCGTGACCCGTCATCTGAAGCCCACCTCCTCGTTTGCACTCCAACAAACGGGGGAGGAAAACACACACAGTGCAGACAGTACCGTACCCTCCTCACTCTCACTCACCTCCTCATTCAGTCTGTTGCCCTCATACTGTGTCGGTGGCAGTGCCAATAGAAAGGTCAGAATAAGTGAACGGGGGAAGTGGGGCAAAAAAAAAACAGCACGGGAAAGTAATTCAATCCTAGCTTACACAATGCTAACTGTAACTCCTCATTCAACCTCACCTTTGTAAATACAGGCTCTTTTCACAGCTGCCATTTTGACACGTCGCAGCAGGGTAAACACAGGTGTGATTGATCAGATGAATTATGGTCCCATTCCATTTAGTGTGTCACAGCCATTCCAGTGAGCCAGCATGCACTGTACCAGGGCCCTGGCCTAACTAAATGGAACATCATAATTAATGGTATTAATAACACCCGTGTTTACCTTGCAATGACACGTCAAAGTAGCTGCTGTGAAAAGGGCCTAATTCCCTGAATCGCACTGAAAGCAATAGTTCGATATCATCTTACCAAGAGTTATACAAGAAGGTCAATACCACTGGTTTAAAGCGGTAGCTAGGAGATGGTTAGCTTAGCTTGACATAAAGACTGAAGGCAGGGAGAACATAGGAAGGTACCACTCTCATGTCAGTCATGAAGGTTTGTTAGCAGCTGATTAGCTACACTTAGCACAAAGACTGGAAGTAGCTGTAGACAGCTAGCTTGGCTCTGTCTGTAACCCTCTTAAAACTACAACTTCTCATTTTTACATTTTGGCTTTTGTCCAGATTAAACAAAAAGGTGTAACGTGTTATTTAGTGTGCTGAGAGATGCTGGTAGGCAGATTTATTCAACTTTTGACAGAGCCAGACTGTTTCCCCCTGCTCCAGTTTTTGTGCTAAGCTAAGCTAAGCGAGCTTTGTAGCTTTATGTTAAACGGACCGACACAAGAGTGATATCAATATTCTAAGCAACATAGTGAAAAAGCCTATTTTCAGAAATGTCAAACTATTCCTTTAAATTCCGAGTTCAGAAAACAAAACATTAGATATCATCGTTGTGCCTGTGCACCTCAAATATATTGTTTTTACACAGTTTTTATGCATTTTTTAACATGATGGTGGTGACAGGATGAACATGACACAGTGAATAGCTGGAGCCATGGAGGACAGTACCTCTACATCAACGTTAGGGGAGCTCTCTCGGGGGTCATAGTCATACAGAGCCACCATTCTCCGCGTTGACATTGGATGTTGACGGCCGCTCCGCCTGTTCCTCTCTATGGAGGGGAAAAATAATAATGGAGAGAAAAAGCATTAATCAGTGGGAATGATGTAAAAACTGTATTGTTGGGTGTGATGACCTGTGATGACACGCAATAGCCTTGCGAGTCCAACAAACTTTGCAATCTGATCATCTGGCTTGCAAGGTAAAGTATTCCTACGTTCATAGCTGGGGAAAGCTTAGCGGCAGCAAATATAGAGGAAATTCACAGATGAATAAGGATGGTGAGAAGTGAAATAAAGCAGTAAAGATGAAGCAGAAGAGCATCTAACTGGAAACAGACCTCTCTTGGACTTTCTGGACCTGCGATTTATTGAGCGGCCATCTTTGAAACGGTCACAGTTCACTTTACAGGAAAGCAGAAAAACATAATTAAGTGGGAAGAGTATAGAAAAGGAAAAATGCATCTTTATAAGACGGTTCAGTAGAGCATTAAGTGTGTGATAGAGACACAGAGAGGTACAACGGCAAAAAAAACAAAAACAAAGTGGTCCTGAAGGAAAATTATGCCTCACCTAACTTCTCCACAGGAGTGTTGAGTGGAAGAAAGCCCTGTTTTAGGAGCTGGTCCATCATGTCGTCATCCTCTGTTTGGATCTCAGAGACCATGTTACAGGGGATCAGACCCACTCGGTCTCGGACTTTCGCCCTGTAGAAGCCATCCGTGTCTTTATTCCCAAAGACCTAAAGAAACAACAAAGTGTTAGTCAAAAACAAAGACAGACACTATAATTCCTGCAACTAGATTATTAAAGAAAGTTTAAAGAAAGAGTACATTGTTTTAGCTAGGTATGAAACATAATAGTAGGCCAGCACCTTGATGATCTGGCCCTCCTTGAATGGCAGCTCCTCATCCGCAGCATCGGGGTTTGGAGACATGGACATGGGGTCATAGTCAAACAGAGCCACGAACACACGGGTCATCTCCTCCGGCTCTGATTCCTCATAGTAATCCGGGGAGCGCCGTCCCCGCCCCTGCCTGCGATCGCCAAAGCCGTCTGAAACATAGAGGAGGCCTCTGCTGCTACTACCAGCCGTATACAGCCACGCTGGCTGTAGAGGCAATGAGAGCAGAAGATGTCTCTTTGTTAGAGCTGACAGGGGAGAGGGCGATGAGATGCATGTGTGAACAAAGAGCCAAAGATCGAATGCAATAATTATGCTTTTAGTTTTAATCTCTTTCACTTTGAAAACGGTACTCCTGTTGTGTGCACGCACCAAAAGCAAAGGATGCTTCCACCAAAAAAGCTTGGTACAATCGGAGCACACCGGGGTTCTTCGTTCACACATCTCTGCTTGCTGGCGTGACAGTCTCTAAACATCATAGCACGGTGATAGCACAGTACAACACAGCACAGACAGGAAACACATGTCAAGCAGTTTTTGGGGTGCAAGGGAAACTGAATGACTGTGCGCACCAGGAGGACACAAGTAACACTGCACTATTGTTCATTGCTGTTTCACTGCCTTATCTCGCAGAGGCTGATTAACATGCATGCTTTCCTAGATGATGAGGAGAGCATTCCTACATCAAATGCAGGTGTACATACGGTCATGCTTTTAGGCCACATCTGGAAACAATGTGCAGCAAAAAAGGGAAAAGGAGGCACGTTCCCAAGGGAGATAACACATCAAATGCCCCAGCAGTTCCTGGCAGCGCAGATATCAGTGAGGTGGAAGGGATGAACCTGATATCAGTTCCCCATGCTTCTCATGGATCACCATGTTGAATGTTTCAATGGCAGATTGTAAGTCTGAATGATGCCTCAGAGATCTTGCAACCAACACTAACTAAGCAACTGAAAAGTGATTTTTGAAAGATGTAAAATGTGCTTCAATGGTGTAAAACCTGTTTGACTTCGATGGCAGTAGAGTTGAAAAATGTGCAACCGAGTTAAACCAACAAGGCAGTCTTTCCTTCGCACGGTATTGTAAACGGCTCATGCAAAATTAAAGCAAACGGGCTACTGGCTCAAGAAGGCGGGAGGAGAAGGAAAAGAGGAGGTGGCAGAGAAGCTAAGTTAGAGGAGGGCAGGCTAAGTTAGTGTGGATATGGAGGGTGGATGGGAAGAGTAGGAGTGAGTTGGGGTTTCTTGGGATTGAAGGTGTAGGAGTACATACAGGGAAGGGATTTTCATTCTCCGAAAAACAGGAAAAGTGGCCAGTCTTGTCTTCCCCGGTCAGCTTTATTCAGCTAAGCTAAATTAAACAAAGCAGCTAACTGTCCAGCACAGAACAAAAGACCACCATATCACTGCATGTGTTTCAAGAAAGATTCTTGGCCTTTTCTGGCATTGTCAAGGTGAATTATCATAGTCAGCTGCACCACATACCATATTGATCCTCTGAGGACATAGATCGCCATATCCTGCGCCGAGCTACACTGCCATAGTAAACATCCTCCTTGACGGGTGAGAGGTTCCCCTCACTCCCCTCACTGTTACTGTCCATGGTGATCTCTACAGAAGACACCAATCACAACGTTACGGTCAGAGATCCCCCGCACACACACACACACACACACACACACACACACACACACACACACACAC